GTGTGGTTGCCCAGTGTGGGGCCCTATTTGCTGACACTCACTCTTTAGTAAGACACGTGTGGAAATGAGGGACCTTGATGATTCTAGTAATGGGGCCTGGTTCCCAGCACTCCCAGGTCAGAGTGGAAGGTCCCTGCTGAGGACAGACCTCCAGGAGGGTGGTTGGTCCAGTCCCCACACGTGTAGTTTCCTCAGGTTTCCTGATCCTGCCCTGGGTCTGTAGTCACAGTTCTGGAAACTTCTCTGGGCTCCAGGACTAGGAGTTCCTTTAGGAGCTCATGGCCCTGGGTCCTCCCTGTCTTCTCACGGGATGTTTTCTTCCCACAGGTGGAAAAGGAGGGAGCTATTCTCAGGCTGCCAGTGAGTATGGAGGGTGACCCCTGAGATCCTGTGATAGTACAGACTGGATCCCATGGGGGACCTCACCCCCATAGTTCCTCCCTTAGTCTCCTCTCCTGGGGGCTCTGACTCCGTCCTGTTTTGTTCTACCCCAGGCAGCGATAGTGCCCAGGGCTCTGATGTATCTCTCACAGCTTGTAAAGGTAAGACTCTAACGATAGCAGGGGTTGGGGCGAAAGGGAGAGGACTGGGTGATGGGGATTCTTTGGGACATAGTGAGCCTGTGGTGGGCTGTTGAGAAGGTCACTGCTTACAGCCACTGAACTGAGTTTGTTCATGATCATTTTCTTCCACAGCGTGAGGCACTTGTCCGGGACTGAGTGATGAGAGATTTGTTCACGCTCCTACTTTGTGATTCAAGAACCTCTGGTTACTTTCTGCAAACAGCATCTGAATGTGTGTGTTCCTATCAGCATAACGTGAGGAGGTGGGAGGCTGGCCCACCCCTGCCCACCACACCCCCTCCCCAGCCTTTCCTGTCCAGTAGAGGTGGGGCTGGCCGTCCCCATTCCTGTTTTTACTGCCTGGTACGCTCAGCTGCAGCTTCTTACTGCCTGATTAAAATAAGAGTCTGGATTTGCATTCTTCTTCACTTCTTGCCATGAAGGGGTGATGGGTTCCTTAAAGGAGAACAGCCCGGCTGGTGTGCCTCAGTGGCTGAGTGTCCACCCAGGAACCAGGAGGTCATGGTTGGATTCCCTTTCAGGGCATATGCCCAGACTTCAGCTCAGTTCCCACCAGGGTCATGCATGTGAAGCCAATGGATGTTTCTCTTTCATCATTGATGTTTCAATCCGTCTCTCCCTCTTCTTTCCTCTCTCTTTGAAAATTAATAAAAACATATTTTTGAAAAAAATTAAAGGAGAAGATCCTAAAATTTGAGAGGAAATAAATGGAAGCCCCAAGAACTGGTCAGGACCTGTGTGTTTGCTGTGCTGAGGCTGTTGCAGGGGAGACAGGAGAGGCTGTGAGGACCGAGTGTGGTCAGGGCTGTGCCCAGTTGGCTCCCTGGTCTCTTCAGCTGGGTCACCTCTCTGCTCCTTTGTTCTTCTCACTTCAGGAGAACCTTGTCCCACCAGGACTTTCCATAACAGGGACTCAAACCTCTCCAGGCCTTGTAAATTGTCCTAATGAGGAACATCTCCAAACCAGTGGGCAGCAAGGCCTTCCTGTGACTGGGTCAGCCTAGGCTCAGGCCTGGGTCCTGCCCTCAGCCCTCAGCCTCTGGGACTTATTTGTTGTTTCTTTGTTTGTGTAGAGGATTGTGCCTTTTTCGTTCTTGTTTTGAGTTTTGGTCTCATCCTTCTTTTGAGTGTCCCCTATCCAGCATCAGCCAGAGGTGAGTTGTCTGTCATTGTGCCCACAAGGCTCAGGGGTCCCTGCACATGTAATGTTCCTGTTGTTATGAATCATAATGTAAATATCTGATATACAGGATGGCCTTAGGCGACCCCTGTGAAAGGGTCGTTCGACTGAAAAAGGGGTCACAACCCACAGGTTGAGAATCACTGGCGTAGAGGATTGTGCCTGTTTGTGTTCTTGTTATGAGTTTTGGTCCCATTCTTCTTTTGAGTGTCCCCTATCCAGCATCAGCAGAGATGAGTTGTCTGTCATTGTGCCCACAAGGCTCAGGGGTCCCTGCACAGAAGAGTCCATGGTATGGAGAGATGAATTTTCAGTCTCATCCTGCTCTTCGCTCCTTCTAGGAATTGATTGTTCTTTCTATCTTTTCCTAAACTCTCCAAGGAACCAGGTTCTGGAATTAGCAGGGAGGAGGGGTCCTGTAACTGGTCATCTTAGATAAGTTCCTATTGGAATTCCTCTCTGCTCGCCCACCCTCTCTCCCTGCCCTTCCCTCTAGTGCTGACTTCAGTGGGAACCCTGGGATTTCTGAAGCAGAGTCTCCTGTAGATTCAGGGAGAGCCGCTCTGTGGGAAGAGCAGGTGCCCTGATGTCAATGTGAGAGCTCGCTGTGCTGTAGCTGCCACAGGACAGCTGTGGTCTGAGGCCACATTAATGAAGACGTGTCTCTAGCATAGGGAGGTGCTCTACACTGACCATTCATGAACCAGTATTAGTTGTGTGCCAGATGTGTGACAGTGTTTCCGCATGTGGGGACCATTGAAGGACAATCAGAAAAGCTGCTTTCCTGTGGGACATACGTTGTGTGGGAAGAAACAGAGTGAATGAAAAAGCACCGTAAACAAGGAAGGCGTCTGTGTGACAAGGGGTAACGGTTCTGGGAAAAAATGCCATGGGGAAGGCAATCCCAAGTGTGGCTGTGGGGGACACAGACCATGGGTGTTTTGTTGTTTGTTTTTAATATATACACTGAGTGGCCAGATTATTATGACCACCCCTAATTTGCCTACAAAATTTGTGCACTGGGGGATGGAGGGTGTCCCTCAGCCCAGCCTGCACCCTCTCTAATCTGGGACCCCTCGGGGGATGTCTGACTGCCGGTTTAGGCCTGATCCTAAACCGGCAGTTGGACATCCCTCTCACAATCCGGGACTAGATTGTGGATTTGCATTCTTCACTTCTTGCCATGAAGGGGTGATGGGTTCCTTAAAGGAGAACAGCCCACTGGTGTGCCTCAGTGGCTGAGTGTCCACCCAGGAACCAGGAGGCTGATCACCCCCCTAAGCACTCCTCTGCCCGCCTGATGGACGCCTAACTGCTCCGCTGCCGGCCCGATTGCCCCCAACTGCCCTCTCCTGCTGGCCTGGTCACACCCAACTGCCCTCCCCGCCTACAAACATAAGGTGATCATAATAATTTGGCCACTCTGTGTGTGTGGGTGTGTGTGTGTGTGTGTGTGTTTGTGTGTGTGTGTGTGTGTGTTATTGATTTCAGAGAGAAAGGGAGAGGGAGAGAGAGAGAGAGAAATATCAATGATGGGAGAGAATCATTGACCGGCTGTCTCCTGCAGGTCCCCTGCTGGGGATCGAGCCCACAACCCTGGCATGTGCCCTTGACCAGAATCCAACCCGGGACTCTTCAGTCTGCAGGCCATCGCTCTATCCACTGAGCTAAACCAGCTAGGGCGTGTCTGTTTGATTTGGGTGGCCAGTCAGTGGGGCCCTCACTTGGAAGGTGGCTTGAGGAAAGCATTGAAGGACATGTGGCATTATCCCTGAGGATGTAGGAAGGAAGTCCTTTCCAGCAATGGCACCTCCAGTGGGAATGGCCTGGGGCAGGAGTGTGTTTGGTTTCAGAGGGAGGAGGCCAGTGTGGGAATGGAGCAGAGAGTAATGGAGATGAGATAAAGACAAGGCCAGACCTCCTGGGCCTGGAGGATGGAAGAAGGGCGGGGACTGTGCTCTGAGTGAGGAAAGAGCCGCGAGAGAGTTTAGAGCAGGAGAGGCCTGGCCTGATACCCTCTTTAAAGGATCACTCTGTCTGCTGAGCTGAGAACACTTGGGAGGTGAGGGGGCAGTGGGGAGGCATGAGGAGTCTGTGAGGGGCTCCAGGCTGGAGAGGCTTCCAGGGGCTGAACGGTGGAAATAGTGGGCATGCTGGGATTCTGGTTCCTTCTGAAGATGGACTTTAGAGCGAGCCTAAGGGTTAATCTGGGGCATGTGAGAGAGGAATCAAGGTCACCAAAAATCTCAGAGGGTACACGTAGAGAGACAGAGTTCCCATTAGCAGAGATGGGGAGACTCTGGAGTAGCCTATTTGAGGGGCATCACAGGCCTTCATTTTAAGAGATGCTGGAGCTGAGTGTGAGCAACACAAGGGAGTCGTCGGATTGGCAGTTGGACAGATGAGTCTGGAGATCAAGAGAGATGTTGGTTGGAGAAACAGAGTTGGGAGGTGACACAGGTAAATGACCTTTAAAGCCTTGAGAACGGACAAGGTCACCAAAGGACTGATGGCTACAGGAGACCGAGGAAGAAGGACTGAACCCAGGACCCAGTGCTGAGCCATCTGGTCAGACCACACACCAGAGCCGACTGCACTGTTCTGTCTCCGGGTCTAGAAGGCACAGGGACCACGGAGCCCCCAACGTTCCTGGGCTCAGGAACAACCTGGACCTCTTGTTGGCTCAGGACGTCTGGAGCAGAGTGTGAGAGTCTGGCTCTATCCCAAGGTGCTGATGCTGCTGGTCTTCACATCCCACATTGAGCATCGAGAACCGAGACCAGGATCCCTGTGTCTGTGTGTCAGCCTCGCCTGCAGGGTGTTACACAGGTGGTTCCTGTCTGTGCCTAATTCTCTGGGTCTGAGGGTCTGGGAGAGGCTGGGGGTTTTGTAAGAAGCTCACAAGCAATCCTGGGGCTCAGCCAGCCTGGGAACCACTGAGGCCAGTGCCAGAGCTCAGGGTGGGGAGGGGTTTTACATCCACATTTAAAGGTTTTCATTTTTCCTCAGAAAGAGAAGGGAGGACATTCATCACCAGTTATGAGACATGATGTTGGGAGTTACATGTCATTCTCTCTGCCATGGGGTAGAGTCAGGTGGAAGAGTTAGGACATGGGCCCTGGGTCCCAATAATAACATCTCTGAAGGCTTGCTCTCTGAAACTGTTCCCCAGATATAGTTCTTGGAGCAAACAATGAAATCACAAGGGACCACTGAAGGACAGGACGGCCTGCTGCTCGCGGCTGGGCTCAGACTTGGCAGGGGTACTGGCCCAGTTAGTGGGACCCTGGAAACCCCAGGACTTTGGGACCAGGGCTCATCCCTACAGGGGCAGCCCAGCCCTTTGCTGTCTGTGACCCGGAGGACCCCTTCCAAACACCAGCAGGTGTCCCTGTGGCACACCCTCCCCTGCCCTGCTGCTCTCCTCCCTGAAGCCTCTACCCCTCTGCGTGCTGACTCCCCCC